TTGTTCTGATTTTAGTGTTTGGTGATCCCCATTTTCTAGTAACATTGCTGATTTTTTTCCTTGTAGTATGTTTATGATCTTACATCATTTTATGACACTTGAATAGAGAATAAATCAAGCATCACTAAACTGACAATAAGTTAACTTCAAATCCTCAATTAGTCTATGGCTGAGTTACATTCAATAATATTTCCTTTAAGATTTTCTAATCTGTATTCAGATATGAGTTGATAGTATGATTGTGTGTTAATGTTGTTAATCTGGCAAATAATAGAAACCTATACTTGCATAAGCAAAAAAGGAAATTAATTGGTAGTATTCTGGAGCACCTCACAGAACTTAAGGTAGAATTTAAAAACTAAGGCTTGACGAAGGGATACCAGGGCAGCGCTAAGGTGGCGCAGCAGAACCTCAAGATCTTGCCCCTGTGGTACTTCCATTGATACAACACAGGGACAATAATTTTCCCTTTCTAAGTTGATAAGTCTCTCTTTTACATTCCTGGCATGAAATCTGACTGGCCCCATTTGAGTCAAGTACTTTCTGACTGTAGAAGGGAACAGGGTTGCTTAACACAGTCATGACTGTTGACAGCTACCACTGTGTATTGACAAAGATGCTTTGAGAAGGAGAAACTGGAGTCAGGCAGCAATTCTAAGTGGTGTCTGTTACATTTTTCTATGTGTGCTACCTCAGTTAACAATTTTGTATCAGAACTATTTTTGAAATAGGAAAAATTTATTCTCTCATGATTTCCCTTAGCCATCTTCCACATACATGCATCCAGGCCATCTGTGCTCTCTGCCTGAGAAAAGGCAAGATATAGCTAAAAGAGAGAAAGAGAGAAATTGCATTCTTTTAGGAGAAGGAAAGTTTATTATTAGTAGCAAGACTTCTCCACCTAGATTATGAAAACGACTCTTTAAAGAAAATTGAGAGTTGGAAAGAGAATAATCAGGTAAAATATCAGTAGATTTCAGAAAGAGTGACTGATTATGCTATTCCCTGCACCATGCCCCAGGCAGAAGACAGAAACTGTAGACTGATTTGTAATCTAAGACATTCAGGGTATCAGGGTCTCCTGGAGAGACAGTGAGACTCCAGAAGAGTGAAATCATTTCCAAGCACATAGGAGCAGCTTGAGAGTGGCAGAAAGAACCACAAAATGCAGAAAAATCTTACAGATGGGGAAGAGGAAAGGCCATACATACAACCTCATTGCTCAAAGGAGTGATGGACATGTCTATGGCCACCTGGCATGCAGCAGAGGAGGAGTCAATGAATAAATCAAACAGTGAACTTCAAATAGTCACTGTGACACTGTGGAAAACAGTAAATTTCCTAGAAACTGGTCTCAAACCTGGGAAAGATGGAAATGAAACATTGCTATCCTGAACAAAAAAGTAAGAGCAAAGGAAAGTTAGGTGTGATTTATGCTGTGAACTGAGATTTATATTAGTAAGGTTTCACTTGTTAAAATGGAATTGTATGTCATCATACGTTTTACTCCTCTGTGAGACTGTTTATGAGAGTAGGACAGTTTTATTTCTTGAAAAACTGAGAAACTCCAACATCAATGCTAACTGTACACATAAAGTTGTGGGGGAAATGGGCAGAATATTGATGGTGTTTTTGCTGTTTTAATGAAATCACACTATATACTCATTCTTCTTATTGGATCAAAAAAAACTAACTTCCTTTTAATAAAAAGTGGTATATATCCATTGTACAAAATATTAAAATTCAAGTCAAAGAAAAGAACTTTAATTATCCATAAGTTCACATCAGACAAAAATACCATTAAGAAATTAATATCTATTATTGATAAATCTCAATTTATAATGCTTAACATTTTGATCATCTATATTTTCAGTAGATTTCCATTTCTTTGAGGCCTTTAAATTTATTATTATAATTATAAATAGTCCTTACTTATAATTTGTATTTGAAATATTTTATCAGGTTGTTATAATTTTCATAATTGTAATGCTTAATCTTATAAGATAATTGAAAGTATATAGATAAGATAATAGACTCACTTGTAATACCAACACTGAAAAAAGAAATGTGAATACTTTGGTGTCTTTTTCCTTTCAAGTTTTGCATATATACAGAAACATACACAAATTTTGATTATATGATATACAGATTTAAATTTTGTAAATTTAAATTTATTCTTATATATATTTTTTCTTCACTAGATTTGCTATGATTTTTTATTTCAGTTATTTTCTAAGAAGATTTTTATCAAAGTATTTTATGTCTGAGATCTTCCTAATTCAATTTTACTAATTCCTAATTCCTGCTCTCTTAAGAACATGTTGTTACCACCCTTTGTATGGTTTTAGTATTGAGGCTGGAACCCAGGAGTGCTTTTCCACTGAGGTACATCCATAGTCCTTTTTTAAAGTTTTGAGATAAGACCATATTATTGCTCAGACTGGTCTCCAACTCAGCCTCCTGAGTTGATAGGATTATAGATATGTGACCATGGCCCACTTCTAACTGAAAAGATTATTTTCACCCCTTTATTTGGAATGTGAAAACATGTTTCAGAAAGTAAAATTACATTAGTTTTCCAACACGACCTGAGACCACAGTTTTCAAAAGAACCTTAGACTACAGTTTTCCTGGAATATGAGGGATAACCCTTAAAATCACTAGTACTGCAAAAAATAAAAAATTGGTTTGTTTTTAAAGTAGTATTTAGTATGATTGTCACTTTAGAGAAAAAACATTCACAGTTCCATCTAACATATATTGAACAGGAAAAAAATGCTATCTAATTATCTATCTATCTTCATAAAATTAAAATTTTAAATGGTATTATCCCAATCTACTCAGCATTTGGAGAGGGCCTTCTTTTACTGCATCACAAAATGGTAGTGAAGTGGAAGAACAAATGGGAATATATGGAGGAAAAGTAAGAATGGCCAGGCTCACTTTATAATAGCCCACTCTCTTGAGCAACATACTAATCCCTCTTAATGACCTAATAACCTCCTCAGGTCATAGCAAATATCAATGTGAGTTTTGGAAGAGACAAACCATTCTCAAACCCTAGTATTTATCAACTTTAAAGAAATTGATTCCTAGGTGAATAATATTTAATTCTTCTAAAAAGACTTTGAATATATTGTGCCAAGAAACATAAAACTGTTATCAAACTGTTTATTTGAGAGCAAGTAAGACAGTCAGACAATGAATTAAAAACATGGGCTCTTAGGGACTAAGCAAAGACTGCTTTTCTCAAGGCAATAGGGAGAAAACCATAAAAAAGATAAGAGCTATTAAACACAGGAGGCAGCCATGCTCTTGTATACAATGATATTAACAATTATCACTGGTATAATATTTATACAATGACCAAAATGCAATGAAACTGAAAATTAATAAATAAGTAAATGTTTAAAAGAGGAAAAGCTAATTGAAAAGATTAAATGACAAAAGAGAAAACACAGTGCACAAAGAAATGATAAATGTTTCTTAAAAATGATTTTGGTACTAAGGATTAAACCCTGGGAGCTCTACCATTCAGCTATATCCTCAACACTTTGAGTAGAGTATTTGAGTAGAGTCTCACTGATTTTCTTAGGGCCCCCATAAATTGTTGAGGCTGATCTTGAACTTGTGATCCTCCTGCCTCAGCCTCTTGAGTTGCTGGTATTACAAGCATGTGCCACCATGTGGCAGGATAATAAAACTATGAAAGGTATAACAAGTAAACCAGAAAAAGGAATCAATTTTAATTGACAAAAATGTGAAGTTATTCATAAAAGGAAATATAAATAGATGTAAAATGCAAAAAAATGTGGTAATCAAAGAAATACAATATAAAGTGAACAAATTTTTAATAATCATTATATGCAAAACTAAGGGGAAAGATTTTATTTATTGCCAATGACATATAATTTGGGGTGGCATTTCTTTTTTTTAACACTTTATTTATTTGTTTATTTATTTATTTTTAGTTGTAGATGGACACAATACCTTTATTTGTTTGTTTATTTATTTTATGCGGTACTTAAAACTCACTCCTCTTGATTTGAATGACATCACTCTCTCCTGGTTTTCCTCTACCCTCTGCCTGCCCCTTCTCAAATTCCTTTCATTTTTGATTGGCCTGAAAATACTAGAGCACTCAAGAATCAATACTGGACTCACTTTCTTCTCTATCTATACAATCTTTTTTTTTTTTTTTGTACATCCTCTCCTATGGATTAAGATTTCATCTGACCTTTTTGCTTTTTTCTTTTTTAATGTCTGACTTTTTCACTCAGGATTTTTTTTTTTAAATTCCTCCATGGAATAGAATTTCATGTATAAATAGTTTTCTTTATCATTTTTATATTTCTGGGTGTACTACAGCTGGATTATTGATTCACCTGTTGGGGGACATTTGAGTAGTGTTCAGTTTTGGGCTATTATAAGAAAAATTAATATGAACATTCAAGTTAAGTATATGGTCATAGTTTTCTTTTTGGGTCATGTGGTAAATGCTTCAGTGAGGAATTGCTGGGTCTTTGGGAAGTTTTTGTATACCTTTATAAGAAAGAAACTAAAAAACTGCCAAATTGTTTTCCAAATGGTTGTATCACTTTACATTATCACAAGTCATCTACTGGGTTCTATTTTCTTCATGTTTGTGCAATTGTCGTTTTTCTTTCTTTCTTTCTTTGTTTTTTGTAAATTCACCATCCTAGTGGTAAATAATTATTTCAATTTGCATTTCCCTGATGAGTAATGATGTCATGCACCTTCTTATTTACTTATTGGCTAAATATTTTTCCATTTTTATCAGTATCTATCTATGTATTATTGAGGCATAGAGTTCTTTGAATATTCTAGATCCATCTTTATCAGATATTTGTGCTATGAGTTGTTTTTTTTCCCCCAGCCTGTGTCTGTGTTTCTGTGTGTAAGGTCTGTAAATAGCCAACCACACAGAATTTCGTTTCTTTCCAGATTCAAGTAATCACCCTCTCCCTTCATCCCTGCAGGCATACACCCTGGTGAAGCTGGACTGTCTCCAACTCTGGAACATGGCGCTAACTCTTTCACCTAGACTTCTGCAAAAATCTTTAAAAGTAGATCCTCATGATTGGGTTTGGTGGCACACACTTATAATCAAATAACTTGGTAGACTGAGGCAAGATGACCTGAAGTTTGAACCCAACCTAGGCAACTTAGTTGCCTGTCTCAAAATAAGAAAAAAAAATTGAAGGGCTGGGGAGGTAGCTCAGGGGTAAAGCACTGCTGGGTTCAATCCCCAATACTGGGGGATTGAACTATATGTTTTCTTAAGACCTGTTCTATGCTTCTCTCTTCTATTTTTCTTATTTATCTTTCTTTTCATTTTCTCCAACTGGAATATAAACTTTATGGAAAAAGTGGTGTCTTAGAAGTGACCATTGTATCTATTTTAAAAGTCTTGCTAAATAAATATTTATAAATGAATAAATACATAAATTAAGAGTACAATTTTTCCCAAAAAGAAAGCCTGGTGTGATTCTAGACTGATGGATGGTTTTAACAAAATCATAGAAAAACATGAAAGGGGAGTTTCTTTTCCACATAACCAAAACCAGACCTTTGAAACAGCTTCTTCTGTAGGGCACCATCAACATGAGAATTCATAGCTGGCCATCCCCACTTTGTAAGACTATCAGCACAGCAAATTGTCTACAAAGCTCTTGTAAATACAGATTTCTAGAATTCACACAAGACCTCCTCCTGAGATGGGGTTTCTGAGGTCCAGTTCTGGAAATCTGTTTTCTAAAGCTCCCCAGGTGATTTTAGCACAGATAGCTGCTTCTCACATGGCTTCCACAGCTGTGTCCACTTGCTTCACCTCACACCACCATGAACCATGTTTTTTTGCAAGTTAAAAAATGAAGGTCAGTATGGGCATGATGAGGCACAGTTTTAAAATAAAAGAATAAACAGACAAAACGTTTATTTTAAAAACCCTAATAGTGTTTGGACAAGGGGTCTTGAAAAACAAATGTCCATCATTGAATTCAAAGGCAAAATTCCTTCTTAAACTTTGGCAAGAAGTGAAAAACTTGATAAGACTTGGTTATAATCTAAGCAATGAATTCACAGTGCTCCTGAAGCAAACGAATTATTTTTATACCAGTTGGGTTAAGAAACATTATAAAGGACTATCTATTGTGGTGCAAAATGTTCCTTTAAAGTCTAAAAGAAAATCCTTCTAAAAATGAGCCTGTTGTGAAGGAACAAGTTCTAAGCTCTGTCTACCATCACCACCATAAAGTATGAATAAGCACAGCTTTTTTTTTTTTTCTTGCAGAAAAACTGAATGTCCAATAGCAGCATAGTTAGCTGGCTGTCCTTCCCAAAATCTCTATATAACCATAACATGCTTCTGATTGGTCCTTTTTACACCGTTGATTGCATCCTAACCAGTGGATCTTTAAGTGATTTCAGTCTCTGTTGCATTCCAAATTCTCCCAACTACACACTGAAAATTCCCAAAGCATAGCCCAGCTTGTCCCTCTCAAATTTCAAGACTCTTCATCTCCTTTACCAATGTCATCAGCCTCACCATCCTCAAGTGCATTTTTCAAATTCCAAACTTAGTGCCTTTGTTTTCACATATTCCTACTTGTTCATTAGCAGTTCCAAAACTTCTATAAAAAAGGGGAATCTGGGACAGCCATTTGATTGTACTGATTGAGGGTTGCAAAAGTTGGAGACTTATCTGAAAATTAGCACATTGGTTTTATTTATGTTGCATCTCCATTTGTCAAGGATTAGTGGAGAAATCATGGGTATTATGATTAGGGAGTGTAGGGATAGAGATGTTAAAATTTCTTGTAGGCATTCTTTGGTGTGACTACTGGTTGTTTGTTGTTGTTTTGCTTGTCTGTTTTTGCCTCCCAAAATGCATTCCTTTGGCATTACTTACCTAATATCTACTCATTTTCCAAAGTCAACCCAGGTCCTAACTCCTTACAAATTACTTTAAAACTTTATGGAAACTTTCTTAGTGCTTTTTTGTCTTAGCCCATATCATCAATAATGCTTATAAACATATTTAGTTTTTTTTTGCAAGAAGACTATAGCTACAGCTACAATGAGCAAGAAAAATAACTTTGCATTGACATATCAAATATTGTTTTAGTATAGTAGTAGACATTTGAGATATAGTTTCTATTAATTCATTTAGATAATTAAAATTGTTGTAGAAACAAAAAAAAATATTACGTGTTTCTAAGAAAGTGATGATGAAACCAAAAATTCCCTGACACTTTTGAGTGGAACACCTAGGTTTTGTTTTAGCATGTGACCTTTGTCATGTAAATTAGCCACATTCATTCTCCATTTTGAGATAAATAGAGGTAAATTAGCCACATTCATTCTCCATTACAAGGTAAATAGAAAAAGAAAACGTGGTACAGCTGGTGCAGGAGATTGAGGTAGGAGGATTGCAAGTTCAAAGCCAGCCTCAGGAATATAGCAAGGCACTAAGCAATTTAGGGAGACCCTGTCTGAAAATTAAAAATAAAATGGGCTTGGGATATGGCTCAATGATTAAGCACCCCTGGGATTAATCCCTGGTACTGAAACAAAAACAAACAAAAAAATGTGTTATATACATGCAATGGAATACTATTCAACCTTAAGAAGGAAGAAAATTCTGTTATATGTGATAATACGAATTAACCTTGAGAATATTATGCTGTCAATATCGCATGATTCTACTTATATGAAGTATCTATAACAGTTAAATTCACAGAAGCAGAGAGTAAATGGTGGTTGCCGAGGGCTGGAGGAGAAGGGAACAGAGGGTTGCTATTCCATGCATATAAAGTTTCAGTTATGAAGGATAAATCAGATCAAGGCATCTGCTGTACAACATTTTACCTATACTTAAAATACTGTATTATACACATAAACCTCTTTTAAGAGGGTCAATCTCATGTTAGGTGTTCTCACTACAATAAAAAAAATTAAAAAATAATGAAAAGGACTGTTTCACAAGTCTGAAGTGAGAACCATATGAGAATATGAATGCAAACATATATTGTGAACTCTGAAACTTTACATAACAAACATCCAGGACTATGTAAAATCTAATAGTGGTGTTGTGTCATTCTTAAGCTTAAAAATCTTCAAACATAGTGTTTTACCTTGAATAAAAGGCCCCTTTTGCCTCTGTCAGTGTCTACAGTCACCACATACACATGTACACATACACTCACACCCCACTGTGGACAATCTAGCTTCCTTTACATTCAAATAGTATTTCAAATACCTTCTGTATCTGAGTATTTTTTATCCTTCAGCTTTTAGTTCAAATTTCATCCCTGTGGAGATCTTCCCAGATCATTCTACCTAAATTACCTTCTCCCATCCCTTACCTAATTGTTCATTACATCATCTTGTTCCTAAACCTCCTATTACAAGAGGTGGAAATTGTCTCATTCAGTTCTTTGTTTATATATTCATTATTTCTCCTGGCTGCAAGGAGCTTAGGAACTTGGCATGACATGTTCTATATTAGGTTCCCAGCACCTTACCTGGATTTGTTACATAATAGACACTCTATAAATGTTTATGGATGTTGACTGAATGACTTAAATAATGACTAAAACCAGAAATAACAGAGCAAGAGGATAATCAGAAGTAAATTCAGAAGGTGTTTGTGATTGTAGACATGAAGCCAAACTAAGGTACAATATAGAGAAACATAAAAGAAGATTGTTAAGAAAGAAATAGCATTCTTCTGGGTAAATTGGGAAGTTATTACTTTTAGTAAATAATATTTAGAAAAGTAGTTTTTAATACCTCATTGGGGAGAATAGTTTATTAATTACACGTTTGAATTGCCTGTATCTATCAGCAATATATTTCCAATTTAGTTGGACTCTGCTGACTGTGGGAAGAGCAGGTTAATTTTAGATGCTAAACCTCTGGGAAGGAGAAGAGTGACTGAGTAGACAAATAGTAACCATGCTCAGGGCTTACTTCTCAAGACAATTTATCTTTCTCATGGTAAATTTTCTCCCCCAAAGTCAGATTTGTTTCCAGATTACAGTTTTCCAAGATAGAAGTATTGATGAAGTGACATACATACCTTGAGAGCCTTAGGAAAATCTTTTTTTGTCACATGAGAGAGATCAGTCTTTGGAACTAAATCTTTGGTCCAGTGTCAACTGTTAGTTGTTTGATGAACAGCTATATAACAATTTGATATATGTTGAATATTGCATCCACTAAATTCTTTGACTCCCCTTTCATTTGACCTAATAGATTTCTTTTCTTCTGATTTACCATTTTCATTTACATAATTCTTCATTCATGGAATAGATCTAACCCAATATAAAATTGTCAAGTAATGAAATGATTGAAGGTGGGTTTTTTTTTTTTTTGTTGTTGTTTTTAATGTCTACAATATCTTGCAATGTTTATCCTGTCCTAAAAAAGAAGCAGTTCTTACTTGAGTAGGTCCATCTGGGGCTTACCTCTCTGTATCTGTGGAAACCAGCAGGAGCAGGAATCCTGATAAACCAGTTTAGCAATCTTCCTCATCCTTGTGATGAGGTATCTGATTACCCTAGATACCTCAACCCCCTGGCCTATCTTCAGGGTAATAACATAATCCTGTCAGGTCAGTTTAGCCAGAATCCCCTTGTTCTTGATGCTTCCTTTTAGTAATATCCACTCCATTACCCTGACCCTTCCTCGATTACAGATCTCCACTAGTTCTTATTGGAGTTGGAGTTGGGGTTGAGTCTACCACTCTCTCCCACTTGAAGACCTCATGGAGGGGGTTCCCTGTACCTGTTGCAGATTCCTTGATTTAAGTCTTCCTTACCATCTTCAACAAGTGTCATGAATAAGTTTTTCCTTAACACCCTAAGTGATGGAGCTTGGCAATGGTAATTTTTATAACATTTTGTGTGATATTTTGGGAGATTTTTTTTGTTCAGGATTGAAAACTGCCTAATCTATCTCTAGAGATAACTTGGTCTCCTATCAAGGTATCTTCTCACAAAACTGAGAAGAGAATATTATATCAGTCAGGTTCTACTAAGAGAAATAAGTTCACGATGACTTTTAAGGAATAAAATATTTATTATAGGGTATTAGACTTTATACATTGTGAGAAGAACTAGAAAAATAAAGACGGGAGAAGGGAAGCTAGGGAATCAAGAGAAAATTTACCCACCAGCCCTTCTGAAGCTCTGTGTGAGTGGTGAAGTTGACAGTCTGGGAAGCCAGGCTCCTCCAGCTGTGGAGAGGGACTGCAAAGGGAAGATGGTAGAGAAGTGTGCCTGTTGGTGGTCAGGACTGTGGTTCAGCAGGAATCTGACTGGGAAGGAGAGGTAGGGAAGGACAATCTGTCTTTCACACCTCTGATGGTAAAACCCTGCATAAAACCCTGCAATCGTGGCTGAT